CTATGCGCGCACTGTGTGCGCACTGTGCGCACAGTGCGTGAAAAAAAATCAGGGTTACTATGAATGGCACATCTCTAAGTATAATAATAAAAATATTAATGGTGTGAAACTCAAAAACATAAAATATAGGTGGGTTAATAGGTATTGCTAGTGATGCCGGCTAAGAACTTTGACGAATAATATGTATATTCACTAAAAAATAATAGTTTATAAAAAAAGGACATTATTTATCTAGTTATATTATATTTTTTTTTTTTTACAAATAAATTCTCGGCTGATGAAAACAAACTCTCACATGTAGAGATGTTCCATGCGCATGAAAAAAAATGCAGAAATAAAATTTTACAGTATAAAGCTCATAGTGTTATATTTGGCAACTCATTGGCATGGATATCAACCAATAATGTGGATTTATTAACTTGGTGGAAAGGTAATTTTGGAGCTGTAGCACATGAATTAACAAAAGTCGCGGCAAGAGTTCTTTCTATTCCTATCTCATCAGCTGCAGCAGAAAGGAATTGGTCTACATTTTCTTATATACATGATAAAAAACGAAATAAATTGACAAATGATCGCGTGTTTAAATTAGTTTATAATTGAAAACCCCAAAGGTAAGTAAAGTTACAAATGTAGGCGAAGATATTGATGATAGTAATGATGACGATAGTGATGATAGTGATGATACTGTTGATGATAGTGATGGCAATGTTGATAATGTTGATAATAGTGATATTGACAGTGATGATAAAAATGAATTATCTGTAAACATTTAATTTTCATAATATATTTTTAATAATGAATAAATAATGCATTAAAAGTAGTAATACCGAAAAAATTTTAAATTTAGACTAATGATAAGGTAGGTAGGCACATGACTTGGAATTTAAATAATTTAATTCAATAATAGAAAAATACGTAAATAATTTATAAAAATATAAGTTAATAATGTTGTATGATAACAATGATTTCATGGTTTGAATGTGATCTGCGCATTCATAAACTTGAATTTTATTTTGATCGCTTGAAGATGGACAGGGACGTCGTGGCTGAATGTATATAGAAGAAGGTTGAGTTCCGTGTGCTGAAATGGCCTGAGGGAATTTCTCTACGAAAAAAAAAACAAAAAAAAAGTTGGGATTGCTGTCCTATTTATATGTCTCGAATTTAATAAAATAGACTATTGTCTTGGACTGAGTAATGCCTTTTTTTTTGCTCTTTGCGACAAAGAAGATGCACAGTGTGTATGTTTTGTAACACAACAAAGCAGAAGCTCACATTGCGTTCTCAGGTTGTAAACTTGTTATTTATTTTAAACAATAATAATAATAGTCATCATCACGGAAATTTTCCAAAAATTGTTGCGTAGTCATTAAAAAGTCAAAATATTCGTTACACAATGCAATGACAGTTTTTTTATAGTTCTATTGTATGTGAAATTGAAATTATGTGAAATTGAAATATTATGGAGTGGGGTGAAATTCTGATTGGCTAATTTGAATTTCACACATGTAAATTTGAATTTCACATATGTGAATTGCGAATTCACATAATTTCATTTTCACGTACAACAGTAAACTAAACATGCAAACTAAATTTGCATTTTGGCAAATTTCATACACCGGTTGTAATAGATAGTTAAACATATTATGTTCAAGAGGAATCATAATTGCATCTTGGAAAACCACAAATATTATGAACAGGCTAATTATTTTTCTTCCGCCCGGGTGTCCATTGTCATCATCCGGATGCACCCAACGTAGTTCCAATCCCTATAAGAGGAATTTAAAGGTTAAAAATTACAAGAAAAAGTTGGAGGTTGAAAATGGTGGGCGATCGGAAGGAACAAGTGAAGACATGGAGGCACCTGATTATAAAGAAACAGATAAGGTATAAGTGGTATAATAAGTATACAAAAAAACCCAATTCATTTCATTTACCTATTAATTTAATTAAGGTAATGTTTGATATGATATTGATTAATTTACTTTTCATAAAAAATGTAAGATTATCCTGGAGATGTTAAATGAGGAAGAGGATGCATATGGACTCATCCAGTCTTGGGTAATTCAAAAGTGTAATCAACAAGATACTCTGACAGATTATGCTTACTTACTGTCTTTCAATATTTGAACATCTGAAAATGTTATATTTAAAATGGATACCTTTTGAGTATAACAAAGTTGATGGAATATGGATTCGGCTCAATTTATACACTTTCTTCAATGTTAATACACCAAATTCAAAATTGTAATAGAACCCAGGATTTGGATTTTATACAACCACTACATAGAATGCTCCTACTCATTTACACAAAATGGTCAAGTTTGTGAAGGTTATGCAGGTTTATATAAAAATTTATTTGTTAAAATTACTAAATTGATATTTACACAGTATTATTATGTTTATCAAAATTACTAATCAATGTTAACACGAAAATTAAATTGATGATGATATATTCATTGGGTCGGAAAAGTTGAAAAAAATAAAATTAAACAACAGGTTGATCGTTGGTGCTCAAATAAGGTTGATGATCTGTATCAGATTGAGGGTTTAAATAAGATTGTGGAATTTGTGATTGTTGAGGAACAGGTTTCTGCTGGTTGGTCATTACTGTATTCATATTTTCGTTATCATTGGAACCATTGATGTCACCGCCTCCTTCACTTACAGCTTGATCTCCTTTGTAAAATGCAAGTACTGACAAGAGTGAGAATATAAGGGATGTAATCACAGGACTAAGTCCACCATCTCCAAATTTCAAAGGTGAAGCATTATCTTTAAACCAATCTTGGAGTTTTGAAAACATGTCAATTTGTCCTGACATTGCTAACAAAACAATTAAAGAATTGAATAATGCAAAGACCCATGTCATACTTTTATTCACAACATGGCTATGAACATGATTACGAGCATAAATTCCGATGTAAAGCAACATAAATGATGTTATTGCACCTAAAAATATATTCAAACAATTATTATACTGTATATAATATATTTTCACACTTTAGTGGTATGATTAATCAATAAATACGTTACCAATAGCATGCATAATCAACAAAAATTTTGTACCGTCAAAAATGTTCGAATGTTCAAAATTATTCTCGCATTGATATTCATAAACAGTAAAATCATTACTTTTACTATAAAATTGCGTACACTCGCCGTATATTCCAAACAACCTCTTCCCATCCTCATGATCCCCATAACTCGCAATATAAATTGACTTGATAATTGGCGTCCCCAAGTTCACTAATAAAAGACACAGGAATGAGATAAGCGACATACCAGCTGCAGCAGTGTATGCAGTTTTAGCAGAAATAGCAAAACCCATTTTTATCACTTATAAATATGATATTTTTTAATAAAGAAATTGAAACAGGATAACAGAACTTGAAGCTAAATGATTCTTTGGTAATAAAAATCTTGGATTTAAAAATCAAGTGGAAGGCTATATATAAATTTTCTCATCTAAATGTATTTTTGTACTCTTCATTCTTGTGTTTCACCAAATATTGAAACCAATTTCACTTTTTCATTTTATTCGTTGTGCTAAAAACAGTGTTATTGTTTTAATTATTCTCTTAATCGAGATTTTTAAATAATACTAATTAATACCGAATACTGATACTTCATTCCCTACCAAAAAATGTACTATAGTTATAACTGATAAAGAGAACCGAATTCAAGTATATATTAAATATACTTGATATTTTCTAGCCTCTAATTTAACACTGTTTATTTTTATTATCAAGTTGAGCGCAATTATGTGTATAATAAAAAAAATATTAATGGTGTGAAATTCAAAAACATAAAATATAGGTGGATTAATAGTATTACTAGTGACGTCAGCCAGTAGAAAACCTTTGGCCGGCTAAGAACTTTGACAAATAATATGTATATTCACTAAAAAATAATAGTTTATAAAAAAAGGATATTATTTACCTAGTCTATTTTTTTTTTTTTTTTTGTAAATAAATTCTCAGCCAACTGATGAAAACAATCTCTCACATGTAGAGATGTTCCATGCGCATGATTTTTTTCAAATCATGCAATGTCACACACAGAAAAGGCAGAAATAAAATTTTACAATATAAAGCTCGTAGTGGTATATTTGGCAACTCATTGGCATGGATATCTACCAATAATGTGGATTTATTAACCTGGTGGAAAGGTAATTTTGGAGCCGTGACACCTGAATTGACAAAAGTTGCGGTAAGCGTTCTTTCATCAGCAGGAATTTTCTTATATGCATGATAAAAAACGAAATAAATTGACAAATGATCGCGTGTTTAAACTTTATAGATATTTTAATAATAAATTGAAAAGCCAAAGATAAGTAAAGTTACAAATGTAGGTGAAGATATTGATGATAGTAATGATGATGGCAATGTTGTTGATAATGTTGATAATAGTGATATTGACAGTGATGATGAAAATGAATTATCTGTAAATATTTAATTTTCATGATATATTTTAATAATTAATTAAAGTGATTGATGGTACTAGCAGCATCAGTATTAGCATCAGTATCAACAATGCCGAATATAATATTGAGTGCTTTTTCTTAAAAAAATTATAAAAAAAAAAATGAAATGCGCATCATGCGCATGAAATTTTGAAATTTCCCATCCCTAGGCCTGAGGGGAATTTCTCTATGAAAAAAAAAACAAAAAAAAAGTTGGACGGCTGTCCTATTTATATGTTTCGAATTTAATAAAATAGACTATTGTCTTGGCCCGAGCGATGTCATTTTTTTTTGCTTTTTGCGACGAAGAAGACGCAAACCCAACTTAAAATAAATGAATTTTTATTCTCGCGTAGCATGGTTTGCGTGTTTGTAACACAAAAAAGCAGAAAGCTCACACTGCTGTAAACTTGTTATTTATTTTAAACGATAATAGTGACCATTACGGAAATTTTCCAAAAATTGTTGCATAGTTATTAGTTAAAATATTCGTTGCACAATTCAATGTCAGTTTTTCAATAAACATGCATTCTAAATTTGCATTTTGGCGAATTTCATAAACTGGTTGTAATAAATACTTAAAAAATACAGGTCACTCCCGTTATAAGGACACTCATGGGACAAGCAAAAATGTCCGTATAATAATAACGAGATGATGTTATAACGGGAGTTCATATAAAATCACATGACTTAAAAAATGATTATAAAATTTTTTTAGAAATTATTAATTTTCAATCAAAAACGTAAAGATACTTTGTTACAATTCACAAACCTATTCTTGAAAATAATAGATACTTTGTTACCACTAAAACAATTTGCGAATTTGATTATTGTTAATTGTAGTGTTAATAATAATAAACTTGATGTAAGTAATTTGTGTTTAATGCGTTTAGTATTAGTGTTGGTCGCCAAAACTGTTTTGAAGAAGCGAAAGTCAAAACTAAAATTAAAAGTTATATGTCAAAACTAAATCAAAAGTCATTAGTCAAAAATTAAAACTAGTTTCGATTTATGGCAAAACCTTTTGACTTTCGCATGGCTGTGAAACTCTCTAGTTTTGGAAACCAACACTATTTAGTATTACTAATATTAAAACATTAAAAATGTAAATAATTAGTTATCTAATGTTGTCATAGTAATTTGAGTGATTTGATTGGTTCTCTCATTGTACTGACATGTCCTTATAATAATAATGGATGTCACTATAACGGGATAAATTCTATAATTATAAAAAAATTTTTTGTCCATTTATGTCCTTATACCGAGTAAATTTATATTTATAAAGTGTGTTTTTGAAAAAAACGTCACTATAACGAGCTTTCCTTATAGCGGGAGTGACCTGTATTATGTTCAAGAGAAATCATAAGTTGCATTTTAAAAAACCACAAATATTATGGACAGGCTAATTATTTTTCTTCCACCGGATGCGCCCAACCCAGTTCCAATCCCTAGAAGAGGAATTTAAAGGCTAAAAATTACAAGAAAAAGTTGGAGGTTGAGAATGGTGTGTGATCGGAGGGAACAAGTGAAGGCATGGAGGCACCTGATTGTAAAGAAATAGATAAGACATAAAGTAGTATAATAAGTAAACAAAAAACCCAGTTCGTTTCGTTTATCTATTAATCTAATTAGGGTAGCATTTGGTATATTTGTTTGTGATATTGACTAATTTACTTTTCATAAAAAATGTAAGATCATCCTGGGGATGTTAAATGAGGAGGAGGATGCTTATGGCCTCATCCAGTTTTAGATAATTCAAAAATGTAATCAACAAGATACTCTGACAGATTATGCTTACTGTCTTTCAATATTTGAATATCTGGAAATATTATAGTTGAATAATTTTGTCTATCCTAACTTAGATTTAAAATGGATACCTTTTGGGTATAACAAAGTTGATGGAATATGGATTCGGCTCAATTTATACACTTTCTTCAATATTAATATGTTCCACAACAAATTCAAAATCATAATTGACATGTGTGAAATCAATAATAGAACACGGGGTTTGGATTTTATACAACAACTACATGGAATGCTCCTATTCATTTACACAAAATGGTCAAGTTTGTGAAGGTTATGCAGGTTTATATAAAACTTTATTTTGTTAAAATTACTAAATTGATATTTATACATTATTATTATTATGTTTATCAAAATTACTAATTAATGTTAACATGAAAATTAAATTGATGATGATACATTCATTGGGTTGAAAAAAAGTTGAAAAAAATAAAATTAAACAACAGGTTGATTGTTGGTGCTCAAATAAGGTTGATGATTTGTATCAGATTGAGGGTTTAAATAAGATTGTGGAATTTGTGATTGTTGAGGAACAGGTTTCTGCTGGTTGGTCATTACTGTGTTCATATTTTCATTATCGTTGGAACCATTGATGTCATCACCTGCTTCACTTACAACTTGATCTCCTTTGTAAAATGCAAGAACTGACAAGAGTGAGAATATAAAAGATATAATCACAAGATTAAATCCACTAGCTCCAAGTTGCAAGGTTGCATAACTCTCTTTTTTATTAAACCAATCTTGGAGTTTTAAAAACATATCAATTTGTCCTGCCAATGCTAACAAAATGATTAAAGAACTAAATAATGCAAAGACCCATGTCATAATTTTATTCACAACATGACTACGAGCATAAATTCCAATGCAAAGCAACATTAATGATGTAATTACACCTAAAAATATATTCAAACAATTATTATACTGTATATAATATATTTTTACACTTTAGTGGTATGATTAATCAGTGAACACATTACCAATAGCATGCATAATCAACAAAAATTTTGTACCATCAAAAAAGTTTGAAGGTGTAAAATTATCCACGCAATAATATTCATAAATAGTAAAATCACCATTACTATTACTATCACTATAAAATTGCGTACACTCGCCATATATTCCAAATAACCTAGTCCTTAATTCATAACTTTGATGACTATTTTCATAAATCGTAATATAAATTGACTTGATAATTGGTGTCCCCAAGTTCACTAATAAAAGACACAGGAATGAGATAAATGACGTAGCAGCTGCTGCAGTGTTTGCAGTTTTAGCGGAAATAGCAAAACCCATTTTTATCACTTATAAATATGATATTTTTTAATAAAGAAATTGAAACAGGATAAGAGAACTTGAGGCTAAATGATTCTTTGGTGATAAAAAATCTTGGGTTCAAAAACCAAGCGGAAAGCTATATATAAACTTCCTCATCTAAATGTATTTTTGTACTACTCATTCTTTTTATATAAATGTTGTGTTTACATCAGAAAATAATGATTGTTCTAATGCTAAAAACAGTGTTATTGTTTTTAAACATTCTCTTAATCGAGATTTTTAAATAATACTAATTAATACCCAATACTGATACTTCATTTCCTACCAAAAATCGTACAATAGATATAGTCATAGCTGACAAAGGGAACCAAATTCAAGTAAGTATATATTAAATATACTTGATATTTTCTAGCCTCTAATTTATTTTTATTTTGTAAATTAGAATTAAGTTGAGCGCAATTATGTGCATAATAATAAAAATATTAGGTATTACTAGTGATGCCACAGTAGAAAACCTTTAGCCGGCTAAGAACTTTGACGAATAATATGTATATTTACTAAAAAACAACAGTTTATAAAAAAAGGACATTATTTACCTAGTCTTTTTTTTTTTTTGTAAATAAATTCTCGGCTGATGAAAACAATCTCTCGCATGTAGAAATGTTTCATGCGCATGAAAAAAAATGCAGAAATAAAATTTTACAATATAAAGCTCGTAGTGATATATTTGGCAACTCATTGGCATGGATATCTACCAATAATGTGGATTTATTAACCTGGTGGAAAGGTAATTTTGGAGCTGTAGCACATGAATTAACAAAATTTGCGGTAATAGTTCTTTCTGTTCCTACCTCATCAGCTGCAGCAGAAAGGAATTGGTCTACATTTTCTTTTATACATGATAAAAAACGAAATAAATTGACAAATGATCGTGTTTTTAAATTAGTTTATATATATTTTAATAATAAAT